GGAAGTTGATGTTCTGCCAATGCTACAGCATTCAGTGGTTCACATGTGAAGATTGGCAGCACCTTTGTAAGAAAAACAAGAGAGTACAAAGTGATGTCATCATTGCATCACAATAGTTTTTGTCAGTCAAAATTCTCAGATTTTGTCCCCCATGTACCACTACCCACTCCATCTAAATCAAGGTTTATCCATTGGATAACTACCTTTGGGCATTACCTTAACCGTCAAAAACAAGTGATTAGAAAGATTTAAGGGAAAAATGACTTTTTATCTTCTCCATAACCACCTTCGACATAGCCAGTTGTTTCCCCCATCCATTACTCGCCGGTTTCTCACTTCAAATCACATCTCCATTACCAAGGTTCACCAATCAAATCCCTTTCTCTCCATAAACCACCCTCTCTTAAACCTCTCTCCGTAAACCACTCTCATGAAACTAAACTATCACTCCACTTCTCCTCATTTTCGAAAATAATGGCACGGATGAAACGAGCTGCTGTCCGCGACCCACCACAGCCGGTCTGACGAAGTAACCGCCAGCGGGCATGCGCCTCTGCCTCGTGACGGACAGGGGAACCTAAATTGGTCGACCTCGTCACCAATGGCTCGTCCTCGTCGTCTCCTCCCTCATCTCCGTCGCCGCCTAGACTGCCGATTGTCACCCCACTCATCGCCGGCTCTTCTCCTCCGCATGCTAGACGGACGCCACGCCGACCACCGTCTCTACCGCCGCCTTCAACCGACTGCCCTCCTTCGCCTCCACCAACTTCTAATATCACGCCACCGTCATCACCACCTATGGCAGTCGACACCATCGCCTCGCCGCCAGCAGTCGCAAGCCCTAATTTGGGCATTGAGGTAAATCTTAATACAAGCCCTAATTTACTTATTGAGGGAATGACTACCTCAGATTCATCAGAGGAAGAAAATTTTATGCAACCTCAATCACCTTCTACTGTTTTAAGTCCACCCAGAGTATATTTTCTTACTTGGTATAATCACCCATGCACACAAATGCCCACACCTACTGTTTTGGCAAATCCCACACCTCACATTGGTGAGGATGAATCTGTTGGGCTGGACGATATTGTACTGAATAATAGGGATGATGTTTTTGAAGCCCCACACAATGAGGCCGATGTAGAGGCTGATGTAAGGAATTTGACCTCAATTCCTACTAAAAAGAGAAAAGGACTGGGACGAATCTTTGCTACCCGCTCTAAGGCTGTGCATGGTCAGCCTCTCAAAAAGAGACCAATGCGTACTCCACCTTCCATTCAGTTGAGGCATACTGCCTTCATGCCTCGAAAATCACCTCGAATGGCCACGGTTAGGCTTGAAGATACAGCCGGCCCTTCTCGGGTGCAAGCCACATGAAGCACGACAAACACTAGACCCATTCCTAGGCCACAACAGCAGTTCAATGGATTCAACACTGAAGTCGCATAGCTGAAATATGCAAAGATCAAAAACAAGAAGGTATTGTAGGATAAAGATAGAAGGAGTATCGATGAATTCAGTTTCATCCGGGACGTAATCAATAGGCAGGGATGGCAAATGCTATGCGAAGTAAAAAGCACTTTTAATTTGTCTTTGATTAGAGAGTTTTACGCCGTGGCTTGTGTTTTTAGCACCATAAAGATTAAAGTCCGGGGTGTTCGGGTGAGTATCTCGGCCAAGGCTATTAATAAGCTTTTAGGCCTTTCACCCCCGGTCGAAACTGATTTTGAGACGCTTTCTCAATCGGCCATTTGCCCAACTGGAGGAAATTGGTAGAGAGCTTGGGAAGGTCGTGACCAGATGGGATGCCCATAGTAACTACATGTTACGGACTTATAGGGCTTCAAATTTAAAGCCCGATGCTAATGTTTGGATGAATTTCATTCGATATTCTCTCAACCTAACTACTCATGATAGCTCCATTTCCGTTGAGAGAATCATTTTATTGTATTGTGTGGTTACGGGTAGGACCATTAATGTGGGGGAAGTTGTTGAAAAGGCCATTCTATATTGTTCCAAAAGGAGACAAGGGAAGCTGTTTTTCCTAGGCCTGATTCACAAGTTGCTTATGCAAGCTGGTGTTCCCGAGTACACTGATGACTTAGTTATTAAAGAGTGTGAGGAGAAGTGGACAATTGATATGAAGGCTGTTTCAAGACTTAGAGAGAGGAGTGAGAGAGGAAGGGAATTGTCTGGTGTGACTAGAGCTATGGAGGAGCTTTTAGAGCAAAGTGGGAGTATGATGGACTTCTTGATAGAGCAGTAGGCTGAAATGGTAGAAAGGTTAGAGAACATGCAGGCTGATCTGACGAACAGGTTGAAAGAAAGTGAGAAGATGATGAAGAAGAGGTTTGACAAGCTAAAAGAAGACTTGGAGAATGGGGTAGCTGAAAATATCAAGAGAATGTAGAAAAAGCTAAATCGGTACAAGGCGGAGACCGAAAGACTGAGGACAGAGATTCCATCCGTGGCTGCCTGGAGTACACAGCCTACTCTTCCGGAGTAGGATAGGTTCTACCACCCTATTTTAGCTTCATATTTTGATTTTTTGAGTCGGGAATAGTTTTTTATAATCTATAGTCTTATTTTTACGCATGATCATTTCACTTGAGAACTGTTAACACATGAGATCATAGCCCGAATAATTTTAGTGATTGTTTGTCATTTAATCATGGTACTTTGTTTTTGACTAGAACTAGCAAAACCCTTTTTGGGAAAACACTTTGATCACACAAATCACCATTAGGAAATGAGATAGACCATATTTTCTATACTCATACTAGCCACTTGCACCCTTTAAACACCATTTACCCCATAAAATGCCAATGAGGACATTGTCATATTCAAGTTTGGGGGAGGAGTTTACATAAGGACACAAAGTCAATACAAAAGAGCAAAGCTCTAAATTGATTCCTTATCACACAAAGGGTGTTGAAAACATAACAAAAGTCCCATAGGGGCTATGTGTTTTAGAAAATGATATGAAATGGCACAACAAAAGTCCCATATGGATTATGTGCAAACTCCAAACAAAAGAGGCCAAAAGGCCCAAAATTTTGAAAAATTTATATGTGGAGTATACAAGTGAAAAAGGCTATGAGAAAAAAGATACGCCAATGAGAGAAAACCCCTTTAAGCCCTATTGATCCTAAAATGATGATTGTGTTTGAACTTAACAAAGAAAAGGGAATGCTAGCCTATGGTTCATGCAAAGAACTTGGTTTTGAGTAACACATCTTAGATTTATGAAAGGCTATGAACATCATGATGCTATAACTCTCTTTGGGAAGGCACTTAATGCTTTGATCATGTATTTTTGTCATCATATTTGTCTTTGGTTGCTTGGGGACAAGCAACGGTTTAAGTTTGGGGGTATGATATGTGTGAGAATTTAACACATAAAGCACTCATTTTACGTCTTATTTAGTAGAATAATTTCTTTTCATTCTCACTTTGAGTCATTTTTATTTATTTCTTTATACATTTGTTATTATGAAGCTAAATATTATGGTTGACTTGTTGGTACTCTTGAATGAAGCTAATGGGGAGTTTTTGTGAAAACAACAGGATGCTACAGCATTGGAGCAGGATCGATCTGATACATGCACAGCTTTTTGGAGGGCTTAATGATTAAGACGCTGCCTTTTTGTATTCATGGAAGACAGCTGGAAATTGCTGGAATCTGAGATTAAAAGTCTTGTTAGGAATATGTACTTTCTATTTCCTTTAATTGTACTTTGTAACTAGTTTTAAGAAGCTTAGCCTCCAAGATTTGTCTTTTTTTTCTTTTTGTGCCTCCTTTGGGTATAAAAGGAGGGCTTGGGGTTCCATTTTCATCATCCATTACTCCTACTTTCATCCATTCCATTTGCTAGTATTGTAAACCCTCTCCAAGGGTGGTTATAATTAAGTTCTTGAAGTTTTTCGTAATTTACATTCTCGTCATTTACATTCCCGTCATTTATTTTCTCATCATTTACATTTCCGTCATTTATTTTCTCGTTATTTACTTTACACAATTTACGTTTATGTCTTTATTTTCCCTCATTTATTTTTTACTTTCCGTTATGAGTAGCTAAGCTTTTATATCTTGGGTGTGAGACGGAAAGGTGAGATTGTTAGGACTGAAAAATCAGTATTAATTGTATTGGTCTTGAAAGATTAATTTTAGTCTATAATTGTAAAAGTCAGCGTGTTTGACTTTCTTAGACTAGTTTGACTTTGACTTTGTATTAATATGTTGACCATATAAATAGGTAGGTAATCTTTGTAGTTAGTAAGTAAGTGAGCTAATTGTAAGATTTGATTGATAATTGAGAGTTTGACTGAGCTTACATGCATTGACTTTTTCTCTYAAGTGTTCTTGATGTTCTTACATGAAAATATGAATCTGCCATTGTTGATTATGAAGATTATGAAGATTGATCAGTAATTGTGGACACACAATTGGTATCAAAGCAGGATGCAAGAAATCAGAAAAAGAAATCGATCAGATAAGTTTTTTTTAATTTCTTAATTTTTGTGTTCTTCGTGTTCTTCGTGTTTTTTATTTTTTTTCTCTGTTTGATCCGATTTTCTCATAAAATCTTGTGTTTTGGTGTTAAAAACATGATCAAAATGCTCGGAATCGTGTTGTGAATCTTTGTTATTCACAAATTTTTGTGATTTGATCAACTTTTATCAAGATTTAATCGGATTTTTTTGTTTTAAATTTTTTTTTTGTGTTCTTAATTTTTTTCGTAAATCAGTGTTTTTGATTCAACTTTTGTTAATTTTTTTTTGTTTTTGTGTTTTTGATAGTGTTTGATCTGGTTTTATTTTTGTTTTCTTTATTTTTTTTGTTAATCTGCCCATTTTTAAAAAAAGGCCCAATTTGTTTAGCCCATAATATAGACCGCTTACTTGAAGGCTTTCTTCTTCATTTTGATTCTCAATCTTGAGCGGATCGTAGAAGGCTTTCATCTAAGGATTGTTCTCTGGTTAGTGTTCATYGCTTCAATCTTCTAGACAAAGGGTAAACCGCACATAGCATCACCGGATTTCTCAAGCGGTATTCATCTTCACCGCATACCATTTGAGCGGTGTTCATATAAACCGCACGCCACTTGAGAAGGGAGGAGATTACACCGCTCACCTATTGATCGGATTGTTCTCCGGTTTGCTTCAAGACCCAATTGATTTCTCGGCTAAGGGTAAACAACAAAGTTTCATCGGTTTTCTGAGCGGATTCTGAGTTTTCCTTGAGCGATTTAAGATAAACCGCACAACTCATCAGGTTTGCTTTTCAATTTCATCTCATATCAAGGTTTTCAATTTGAGCGGTTTATACCTAAACCGATCACCTCTTGTCCAGTATTCGAGCGGTTTAGAACTTAGAATTTGTTGTGCATCAAACTAGATTGAGCGGACTTCTAATCCGCTTGATTCAATTTATCAATTCATATTACCCAGATTTTAATTTGTTCACTGTTTCTTAGAATTTTTGTAATACCTTGACTGTTTTGACAAAAATTGCTCTATTTTCATCCCTGTGTTATGCAATTTAGGCAATTTCACAGTTTCTGTCCAGATTAGTCTTTGTGTTCAATTAAAGCAATTGATTTCAGAGACACAGTGGTGGATGGTTTATGATGTTGATCTTGAACAAGCTTTAAGTGGGACAATATGGAATCTGATGGTTTTGTGAATTGTCTTGGTTTTACAATTTAAGTGGGACAAACCAAGTTATAGTTTTGTTCGAATTTGATTCTGTCATGTGTGTTTAGATTTTGGATTTGGTTGGTATCATTGTGTTTTGTCTTTGAGCTTAACAAACTGGTCTTGAGAATCACCGCTTGCAGGAATTTTTTTTCAAACAGTCAAGTGGTTTAGCTTGCTGTCATAACACAAGTGGTGACAGACAGTGAATTGTTTGGACTGTAAAGATCTAAGCTTCGATTTACACTGTTACACAGGTATTGTTGTTGGTGAGTAGACTGCATGTTAGTCTAAATCATACTTGGACCACATAACAGCAGTTTCAGAGGGAGACAGACAAAAGATTTTCTGTGTTTGTTTAGAGTTTGTTGTCATAGGTCACTAATGCCCATATCTGTTTGTTGATGCTGTAATCTGTTTAAGCTGTGTATTTGGACGGATTCATTAAACTGTACTTTCTGCTGTTTGATTTGTGCTGTGTGTGATAAAGGGTCATCTAGACTTCTATTGATGCATGCTGAAAACAGTTTTATATAGACTGCTGTTTTTGTACTCTCACGATCTGTTTATATAGACTGCTGTTTTTGTGCTTCTTAGACAGTTTGTTGAGCAGTTTAAGCTGTTTTTCAAATATTGTTGACAGCAGAGCCACCACGGCCATAGCGTATGAGGAACTACAGCAGATTTGAAGATTGTTTTTACAGCATATTTGAAGATTGTTTTGTATTTCAGATTTGAAGCAAAAGCAGTTTGGAGAACAACTCCACAGAAACAGTGTGCATCAGGATTGTTTGTTTTTTACAGCCGGTATTAGTCTTTATAACAGCAGCTCAAACAGCAGCTCAAACAGCAGCTCAGGAGGATTCATTTGTGGTCTGAAATAACAGCTGCTACACAGCAACTAAACAGCAGCAACAATAGCATGTTGGTTTGGAAGCTGTTTGTGTTGAGATGAAACAAGAAACAGCAGGTAGCAACTACCATATGACAGCAAGACTATACAGCAGGTTCACAGATTCTTAACTGCATTGCAAGGTCTTCGAACAGCAACTTCACTTTGTTTGACTGTTTGGAATGTAGTAAGCAACATCTGTGATATTGACACAGATAAGTCTAACACAGCTTGCTTGACAGATTTGAACATATCAAGCTGTGATCTTGTTGTTATAAATGGTCAAAAGAAGTTCTGTTCATCATTGTTGAAAATGTGTTGAAGCTGAATTTTTTTTAAGCTTTGTTGATCTTGACAGCAGGTTAAGTTCTGTTGACAGCAGGTTGCGTTTGCAACAAGCAGGTTTTGTAAACTGTTTTGACAGGACTTGACAACAAGGTTCAGAAGCTACACAGAGACAGCGACAGCAAACACAAAGCAGCAGCAGGTTTAATTTTTGTACAGTAATAGGTTTAAACATTGTGATAGTGGTTTGCTGTTTCTGCTGTGTTGTGTTGGTGTTTAAAACAACAGTTGGTAAGCTCCACAGTCTGTTTTGTGACAGCAACTACACAACAGCAGGTTTGTTTCTTGACTAATTCATGTTTCAAAACAGTAGCAATAACAGTTTTTGATCTTGATTGTTTTTTACAGCAATAATAGTAATACACAGCTTTGAACAGAAATTATCTTGACTGAGTTTAGTGTGTAGTCTTCAACTGTTTTAAACAGATTTGAAGCAGTATTAAAGCAGACTGTGTTTTAAACAGATTTAAACAGGTTGTGTATTATTAACAGTGTGCAGGACTGAAACAATAGCTCACAGGTTTAAGTTGAATTTTAGTTGTTTGTTGAGACTACACAGTTTATTGTACCAATTGAGACATAAGATGTGCTTGACTGTTTTGGTTCTGTTATTTTGACAGCAGCAGGATCTCACAGTTTTGATTGCTGATTTAAGTTTGAGCAGTTATTTGACACAAGTTGTTATCACAGAAGTGACTGATACGAGGGYGTGAGAAGTGGATCCATACTAGAAGCTTTCAAGTGGATTTCTGGATAGTCTTACGAGGGCATATAGTATATTGTTTTTGTTCCATATCTGTATTGTATTTGGGCTTGGATCGGTGTGATTTGGACTTAGACTCATAATTTTGGACTTGGATTTCTTTTGGACTGTTTTTAGTTTATTAGTTTGTCTGTGTTTAGTTTTTTTTTTGATCATTGTATATTTGTTTTTGCGTGTGTTTTTCAGTGTTTGTGTTTTTCGGTTTCTTTTTGAGCTTAACTGTTCATATTCTTTTATCTGATTTCACTGCATAGATCCTTAACTGATCAATTTTTTTTTCTAATGGGAGATATTCTTTTGAAAGAGAATCACGAATTGCGAGCAAAGTATGCTGAGCTGGAAAAGAATTTTAAACTTCAGAATTATGTTAATGTGAAATGTAATGAAACTTTGCATCGAGATTATAAAGCAAAGATAGAAAAAGTTAAGGATGAATCCAAATATGAGTTAGATAAACTTAATAAATCCTT